GATTTTTACTATAGAAACATACAGTATTTAGATATGAGATATCTATATACAATATATATTTACAGTACATACAGTATTTATATATACTTATAGTATACATCTATAGTATTTACATACAGTGTTTCTAAACTTGTGTGTATATATATTTATATATAAATATATGTAGTTAACAAAGGGATGGCCATGCTGCAATCTCTTCTCTGCCATCTCTCCCTCCTTTGAGGATTTTTGAGCACATGCACGTGCACACACACACACACATACACACTCAGGCCTGACATGTTTTTCAAGCCAGGGCTCACGCGGTGTAGCTGGTCATGTGGGATTCAGCCACACCAACAGCTGCCAACAATCATATTTTTAAGGGTTTTCTTTTTTTTTTTTAAGTGCCAGAGCGTGCATGCACTTGCTATAAAGAGACAGAGAAAGCACCCTTGAATGGGGTGTGGTCACGTCACAATCCTTTTTCCTCCATTTCGCCATCCCATCAGAATTTTGGTCATATGCACATATCAAGCATGTTTTTCAAACTACAGAGGTAGGGCATGAACCACAGCCAACCATGTGGGACCCAGTTCCCTGAACCACTGTTCTCAGGGGCCAGCCCAACATCCATATTGGCTTATTTGTATGTGCTTATTTTGTAACTGAAGAAGAACATATATTAGAAATCAGTAATATTCATAAGTTATATTTGTAAGGATTACACAGTTCTTCTTGTCCTGGTTATTTATTTTTATCAACAGGTGAAGATCATTTAAAATACAATATACTTGAATCAATACTCCTTTAAGAAAATGACATCACTGGGCCAGTGAGTGGCATGGTGGTTAAGGTGCTAAATTCTCACTTGACCACATTCTGAGATCTGGATCCAGCAGACTGATAATTATGCCAGGTGTATGTGTACATGGGTATCCAAAATCCTAGGAGGAGAATGGAGGAGAAGGGATTGCAGTATAACCATTCCCCCCGGGGTGGGGGGGGAGTTCTTACTCTCTCTCTCTCTCTCAGGTGAGTGTATGAACCCTATGGCAAAAACCTAAAAAAAAGGAACAAAAGAAAAAGAAAAGAAAATGACACGACTGAGTTTTGTTCACAGTTGTCTTTGATAAGGAAACTCTGACAAATAGCCTATGCTAGATGCTGCTACCTTAACTGTGCGATACGGTTAAGAGTACCCACTACATCGTTTGACAGTTCTGACACGGAGTTCCACATAAGAAACTGGTAATATAATTATCAGGAAATGTCTTGCTTTCTCCAAATACTTCTATGTATTTTTCTATTTAAGTTACAAAGATCAAATGTCTCCCTTCTCCCTTGGGCTTTCAGGAAACTTACAGCTAAAATTCCAACTCAACCAGATAAGCTCTAGTGGCCTGCATAGTTCTGTCCTCTTCCCTTTTACTTCACACCCCCTCAAGACCTCCACCCTGATTCTTTTTATCCTAGTTTGCATTTTGAATAACTTATTTGTACTTTTACCGTTTTGTTAGCACATGTTTGTAATAAGCTGCTGTACATTATTTATGGAGTTAATTGGGGTAAAAATAAAATATGTGCATCCACAGTAACTTTAAGCATCTCAAGAAAAGGTGCATCTCAATATGTAGTCTAAATTTTTGGAAAAAAAAAAAAACTCTAGGCTAGAGTCATGCTCTTCCAATATACTGTTATAAGACTAGGTAGTGGTGGGGCTGGCAAGTGGCATGGTGGATAAGGGCGTTGAACTCCCACATGGTCGACCGCAGTTAGAGTCCCAGACCGGGCAGCTTGCTTTCTCACCTTCCCTCCTTCTCTCTCTCACACACACACACACACTGTTCCCTTTCTGGTCAAATTAAAATAGATAGAATGAATAAAATTGAATAAAATAATTCTTAAAAAAAAAGAGTAGATAGGTAATGGCATCCCAAGGACTTCAAGAGGCCACAGAAAAAATACATAAGATATCTATTTTACTCCAAGGAAATTTAAAACACTGTTTTATTTTTAAATGCACAAACATTAAAAAGTAAAATGGAAAGTGCCTGGGAATCTCTTTTCCTTTTTTTCTCTTTTTGTTTTAGTGCTGGAAGGCACATGCACTCACCAGAGAAAAAGAAAGAAAGGACCCCCTAATAGGACACAGTCACGCCACAATCTCCCTTCCTCCATTTCTCCATCCTATCATGATTCTGGGCATGCATCCACAAGCACTCGGTATGTTTTTGATAAGACAATGAATTAACATAAAAAGGCACTTGTTAAAATTTTAACTATTGGGCCAGCCTGTGCCTGGTAGTTAAGGCAGCCGGATCCCATGTGGCTGAGTGCGCCACTGGAGTCTGGGACCCATCAGCATGAAAAACACACCTGTGCATGTGCATGCACGGCCGAAGTCCCGAAAGGAGAAATGGAGACAGGGCTGTGGCATGACCATTCCCTATGGGGGTGTCTTCTCTCTCTCTCTCGAGCAAACCACACATGCCCTCTGGAAAAAGCTTTTAAAAAACAAAAGGGGGACCGGCAGTTGGCATAACGGTTATGTCGCTGGACTCTCATATAGTCGACCACGGTTCGAGTCCCGGACCTGTTGGCTTAAACTCACGCCGGGTGCATGTGCGTGCGTGCCCAAGATCCCAAGAGGAGAATGGAGGAGAAGGGATTGCGGTGTGACCATTCCCCCTGGGGGCTGATTTCTCGCTTTCTGTCTCTCTGTCTCTCTCTGTCTTTCAAAAACCTCTCAAAAAAAAAATAAAGGAAAGGAAAAATTTTAACTATTTGTGCCATCTATACTTTTCATTCACATTCCTAATGTACATACACACACACCAATCCTTCAGTGATATTACCTCATTATGAGTATTACCGCTTTATTACCAAAGTGAAATAATTAAAAACTAATTGACAATAAAAGTGTCAAAATTATCATCTTAAATGGCACCCTTAAATGTTATGTTAGGGACCAGCAGTTAGCATAATGGCTATGTCACTGGACTCCCACGTAGTTGACCGCGGTTCACGTCCCGGACCCGGTGGCTTAAAACTCATGCCGGGCGCATGTGCGTGCATGCCCAAGATCCTGAGAGGAGAATGAAGGAGAAGGGATTGCGGCGTGGCCATCTCCCCTGGGGGGTGATTTCTCACTTTCTATCTCTGTGTCTCTCTCTGTCTGGCAAGCACACGCACCCTACAGCAAAAAAACTCTCAAAAAAAAAAGAAGTTATGTTAAACACAATTATTAAATTCTATAAAAAACTTCTGCCCTAAACTCACTGAGTCATGAGATCAACATATATTTGAACCTTATTATGTGCAGGCACCCTGGAGATGAACTTAGATTTCAGTGTGATTACGCACACACAGGTAGGAACACACTTTCCTGACATTTAGCAGTTTGGTGAATCATTCATTCTTTTTCTTTCTTTTTTTTTTTTTTTGGAGATGTTTTTGCTATATTCTCCTCTCGGGATTTTGGGCACGCACACGCACCTGGTGTGAATTTAAGCCGCGGGCCGGGCTCGCGCGCGCGCGTTCGGCTACATGAGAGTCCAGCGACATAGCCATTACATCATCTAGTCCCCATTCATTCAAGAAATAAAATATATGTGCTCTCTAGAAGCTCATAATGCACAAGTTTCTATTGCGACATACTTTCTTTCTTTCTTTTTTTTTTTTTTTTGGAGAGGTTTTTGCTATAAGGTGTGTGCGCTCGCCAGACAGAGACAGAGAGATAGAAAGCGAGAAATCACCCCCCAGAGGGGATGGCCTGGCCACACCGCAATCCCTTCTCCTCCATTCTCCTCTCAGGATCTTGGGCACACACGCACTCGCGCCCGGCATGAGTTTAAGCCACCGGGTCTGGGACTCGAACCGCGGTCGACAATATGGGAGTCCAGCGACATAGCCATTATGCTAACTACTCCTGCAACATACTTTCTTAAGGAAGACAATACGACAAGCAACAGCCCTTAGGGCAGGACAAATGATTTATCTTACTCTATGGACCTTTTGGTCAGGACATGTGAACAACCTATAATAATACTAAAACTGGTTATAAGCGGGTTTTTTTAGGAAATTGTGACATGTGAAAGACTTCTTTCATTTAGTTACTACAAACTCAAGAGAAGTTATTTTTAAGTACTGTAGGGGGAAAAATTATTCTTGTCCAGTACTACAGTATCATAGATATAGCAGGTGGCAAATAAATTGAGTGAGGATTAATAATAACACTGCTCCCTAGAGGATAATTCATTCCAATAATAGAAATAAGTAAACAAATGCCTCTTGGGAATCATTAAAAAAAAAGAGAGAGAGAGATGGATCCATGTTGTTTGCATTTTATATATAAGCTTAATGCTTTTATTCATAATGAAAATAAAGTCTGAAAATAGCATACCAATTTGCCTATAGGTATCATCTCTGTACCAAAGGATGTTAAATAACACTAACATGTGGTATAAACCTAGCTACAAAATACAGTGCACAACAGTTTAATTTCAAGCCACTTCGAAATACCTGTTATTAAACAGTGAGTACCAATTTCCCTTTGTAAGAAAAAGACTACGAATTTGCTAAATCCTTCTACACATTCTATATATAGAAACTCTGCCACATCTTCACACCCATGTCTTAGTTTCTTTGCCAAATAACTGCAGAGATTTAAAAATGTATTTATGTAGGACTTTAACACACATACAGCAACAGTGTACGTGGAAACACCAACTTACTACTTTAGGCTTCTCTAGTTAACCAACTATCCCCAACAGACTGCTTTTAAAGATGGCCCCTGCCCATTAAATCAACCGAAAACAGACGGGAAGAAATGCACTGAATCTGGGAAGGAAGAAAACGTAATCCACCAGTGAAACTGAGAAGTGTACACCTAGTGAAAAATAACTGACAGCGTCGAAATAGCAATTTTTAAATGTCCTTATGTGAAACAATATGCAGAATTATAATACCCCATCAAATCGGAGAACCAGTACACTAGTCGTCTTTATTCAATTACATACCTCATTAGTTCAACAGATATACGGATACAGTCAGGCACAATTAGGCACAAGCATCCAAAGGTCATATTCTGGAGGTGTTTATATATAAGCCACTGAGATATTTCCAGGAAGTAGGAAAAGACCAAAGCACTCAATAACTGAAACAAAGAAAGGTAAAGATTTTCCTGAAGTTTACACACACACACACACACACACACACACACCCCTCCGCAAATTTATTTGTCTAATGAGGTAAACCAAGTAAGCTTTTCTAACCAGAGACGGATTTTTACTGAACCTGGTTCAGTAACAACAACAAAGACTAAAGAAATAGAAGAAAGCAAAACAGGATTTATTAAAGGCTACTTCTTTTTTGAAATCAGGCAAGGGTACGCGCGCGCGCACACGCGCACACGCACACACATATATATACCTGTTGGTGTGATCGCACTATTCCTGGGGAGCCCTAGAAAGCACCCACACCAGTGGAAGCTTCAAAGGTTAAACAACAGCATAGAGCAAATAACTACATATAGTAAATAAAGTATTTTCATTTGGAACCGGCACAGCGTTCACACGGGGGAAACAATTCAAAGGAAGAACTCTCCTCTTTCTTTAGGTGTCCCTAGAGAAAAGCGGTCCCTTCTCCCCTCAGCTGATTCCTTTAGGCACTAGCGAGTTGTAGGGTTTTTTTTTCTTTCTTTCTTCTTTTTTTTTCCCTTTAGCAGAGGGAGTGACGTGGCAGGAGGAAGAAAATGACCCTCGAAGCGCCCTGGCTGGGGCTGAGCCCGGCACCTCCTCCCTCGGCTCCACGTTGTACACCCAGCACAGCCCCACTCCCACGGGGTCCCGATGTCTACAGAAGAAGCGTTCAGGAGAGGCGGTCAGATTGGACGTGGAAGCTCGGGGCCAGTCTGGAGCTGCGTGTGCACAGCAGGCACCGTTTTTATTTAGATCGGGAGGCAGGGATGGCACGGATGGGTGCTCCCAGCGCCCCTCTCCACTCCAGCACTTCAAGGCTTAGGTAAGGCGTGGGGGTAGAGCCGCCCTGCCCCGGAGAAGCACTGGGAATATCCACTGGGGGCCTGAACCCGAGAGGGCAGTCTATCAACAGGTCAGGACTCCGTGGGGGGAGACCAGCGCACATGCCCCTCCGCCGCATCCCCACCCCAGACTGCTGACGCCCGCCCACCCCCACTCCCACCCGGACACCCAAGATGCTCGGAAGGGACGAGTGAAGAGTAACCCCGCCAGCGAACATCCATCCGCCCCCAACTTGGTCCTGCCCCTCCCCCTTTCCCGCCCAGTCCCCCCAAAAAGCCCCGATCGGGACAGCCAGGCCCGAGGAGACAGGAGGTGGGGCGCAGGCGAGCCCATGGACGAAGGCAAGCGAGAGGAGGGCAGGAAGCCAGGACGGCGCCCCCGTCCTCCTAGCCCCACTCACTCACCCCGGGGTCTGGAGCGGCGCCGGGGGCTGGGGCGAGCGCAGGGAACAGCAGCACCAAGGAGCGCTGCGGCGGCCTGGGCGGCAGAGGCGGCTGACTCAACCCGGAGCAGTAGCAGG